AACGTAAAGTCCGAAGTCTTTATATTAAGGGCCATCAGTCAAATATTGTTTGCTCTGGGTCTAAACAGAGCGCGTTGTGTGTGACGTCTTCTTTTGCGCATGCGGGCCGCTTTGAGCGTTCACACTAGAGCGCGTTTGCTGTTGCATTTTATTTGTAGTGTGAACGAGCAGACAAAAAAATAGGATTTGATCAAAAAATCGGAATTGAGCATTAAGACCTGCAGTGTGAACGTAGCCTTACACTGAATCCAAAAGACTAGAAATGATAAATACTGACAAAATCAAAGTTCAATAATAATGCAGCACTCAAGACACTGAGTCAATGACCCTGGTACACTAACAGCTTAAGAGAGGAGAAAAATGTGGATTTCTGCATCAGCCTGAAAGAAGACATAAATATGTAATAAAATATAATTAAAATAAAAATTAGAGATGGCACGATACCACTTTTTAATGTCCGATACCGATTCCGATATCATAAATTTGGATATCTGCTGATACCGATATGAATCCGATATAGCATATTTTGTAATCAATAAAACTGGTTTTTTTTATAAATATCTTGCTGCATTTTGTATAAGTTCATACTCAAGTTTTAAAAAACAAGAGACTGAAGCTATTCTGTTATACCTGTATGCAAAAAATCCACTCCGCCCAAAAGATTTTATAGTTCAGCAACACTGATCAATCAAATAAACTTAAACCTACACCATCCTCCCTATTCTGGCATTTTAAAGAGTACTTACCTACCTAACTAGCAGGGTCCCAGCAAAAATATTAGGGAACCACCCACCGCCCTTAATTGATGTAATCAACTTTCATTTAATGCAAGTGTAAAACAAATGCCCAGAAATCAATTATTTTTCTACAATAATTTAATAGATTCAACATCTTTCTTCAACAGAATTGCAGACTTCCTTTCCTTCCCAAAGGAAAAAGTACTATAGCTTACTAGGGTGTATATTAGACTTATTAGTTACCATATACAATAATCTCCAAAAAGTTGATTCTGTTCATCTGGACGTAGCGTTTTGTGGGAGAAACGTTTCGTCACTCACCCAAGTGACTTGTTCAGTCTCAGCTGACTGCAGTTTTCCCCAATTATAAGATTGGTACAGTACATTTGCATAATGACTGAAACCAGCCCACTGAAGGAACAATGGTCTGGGAGGTCAGTTCCTTAATCTTAATTATGCAAATTCTCATGACCATTGATCAACAACCACTGACCAGAACCCACTGATCAATGGCCATGAGTACCATTCACAGAGAGTTGGGGAATGGCTGCAATCACAGCATTGTAAAATGAGATTGAAGAAGTCACGTGGATGAGTGACGAAACGTTTCTCCCATAAAACGCTACGTCCAGATGAACAGAATCAACTTTTTGGAGATTTACTTTCCTGGATGATTGAGAATGCTTCAAGACATATATACAATAATGGATTTCTATACATTTAAAATCAGATGACCACTTTTGTTGCAAGATTCAGATAATTATTTATTCAAAGTTTTTAAATGACATAACAAAGAAAAATATTTCTTCATGTCCCCCTTTCCCTGTTAATGCCCAACCTGGCCCCCGACAAAACTTTGCTAGACCCGCCCCTGCACAGTTACCAGCCGTCAGCTATGTAGAAAAGGATCCTGGTGTTATTTGTCTCTCAGAAACAGTTCATAACTTCCATTCAACTCATTCATGTGACCTAAAAGGTAAACCTGTTTCTCCATCACCTGCTCAGCGCTGATGATTCAGTAAGGACATCTCTTAGTTTCATCTTCATGTTTCCCTCTCACCACATATCCAAACGGATATCATGACCAGTAGCTTTTACAGCTGTGGCTCCAGCAAGCTTCAGCTGATACTAGAAAGTAACATTAAATACATTCTAACAACAGCTTATCACGCTTAAACGTGCTGCTGTTTATCTGCTGGTTTCCTCTTTCTAGCGCAAAGTGGGCGATAAACAAACAAGAAAGATGGGACTTGTGGTAGAAAAGCAGATCAGCTGATCCTTGATCAGTTTCATGTTTGAAGTAATAATAGGAGAGGAAGGGGGAGTGAATGAGAGAAGTAGAAGCAACTGCGCAGCAAAGACAGAATAACTCCAGGTTTGTGTCTATTTTTTTATTTTAGCTGAAGTTCGGGACAAATCTCTTCCTTTTCACCTCAATATGGAACTCCGATGGCCAGTCCAGCCGTGGCTCAATATATCAGTTGTTAAGTTTAACGCGGAAATACTATGCAAACATTCAGGGATGAACTGGAGTGATCGTGGCTCAAAGAGTTAGCAGTTCGTCTTGTAACCGGAAGGTTGCCGGTTTAAGCCCCGGCTCGGACAGTCTCGGTCGTTGTGTCCTGGTGATGGCCAGGGGGGCCGATGGTGCGATATGGCAGCCTCGCTTCTGTCAGTCTGCCCCAGAGCAGCTGTGGCTACAATTGTAGCTTGCCTCCACCAGTGTGTGAATGTGAGAGTGAATGAATAGTGGAATTATAAATATATATGTGCAATCCATAAATATA